TATATAAAAATATTAATAGTACTTATTTATTTATATGGGATGCACAGTATACCTATATATTTAGATAAATATATATTTTCACCTCTGATCTTCCATCACCACTTCTTATGTAAAGAGCAAATTGTACAATTTTGACACTAAATATTTTGCACTCTCCTCTCTTCTCTTTATTATTCAGGTTTGTTGCCTTAGAGCATCTTAAATTGTTAAAAACCTTGAAGTTTTGTTAAGATTCAACTTATCTCACTTCTGAATTCCAGCAAAAGTGGCTTGAGCATCTCCCTCCAGTTGACTCTCCAACTCCTCTGCTGCTTTTGTGACCACGCTCTCACAGCTCACATGATCCTCCCTGATTCCAACAATGTTCTCTTGGATCACCTCCTCGTAGCGTTGATCTCCCATTTCTGCTCCTACAAACTGGACCAGATTCTCCATCACTGCCTGGTTCCCATGTTGAAGGGCCTTTAGATAAGCAACTTCCTCTCTGAAAGCTCGTAACCGTCTTGACATGACTTGGCTGGTGTGGAAGTTGACATAACAGTCGCCACCTTCTGTCTCCGCCAGGGTCTGAAAAATTGGCCTGGTCCTGTCTGGCTCATCCCCGACTGCATGGAAGACTGAATTGGAGGAATTGCCAGTGACCACAGTCCCAGAGACGTCACCTGATCCCCACTCTCCATCATCACCACTCTGGCAGTAGACTAGCATCACTAGGAGTGTGAAGAGCCAAGTGCCCAGAGTAGAGTGAAGCCTCATCATGACCCAGAAGAGGAAGTAACCTCTATGACCTGGGACTTGACGGAGTGATGGATGAGAACCCAAGCGATGGCAAATGTGAGGTCCCTCTTGAGCCTCTCAAAGCTGGACAGACCTTTTCCACACAGTCACCATTGTTGCAAAGCTCTGACCTCATCTGTGAAGAAATAAACAGACACTCTAATAATGTTTTGCTTTGAGAACAGACCAAAACTTTTCCTCAAGGGAAACTATTCAGTATTGTTCAAAAATTTGGAGTCGGTAAGATTTTTTTATATTTTTATTATTATATAAGTCTCTTCATGCTCACCAAGACTACATTTATTTTATCAAAAATACAGTAAAAACAGTAATATTGTGAAATATTATTACAATTTAAAATAACGTTTTTATTTGAATATATTTTAAAATGTAATTTATTCCTGTGAAGACCAAGCTGAATGATCAGCAGTCTTCAATGTCACAAGATATTTCAGAAATTGTTCTAATATGCTGATTTGCTGCTCAAGAAACATGTCTTGCTATTATCAACGTTGAAAACTACGTTAGCCTGTTTCCGCCACAGACTAAAAAACTGTGAGTTATTTAGGTTTGTAGACATAAACGCTGACTTTCTGAGTTTTTCCCTCAGGATTCTGAGTTTACATCTTGTTGTTTTAATTCTCTTTTGTTTCCACCATGCAATAAAACATAACTGGTAATTGCAACTTTTTATCTCACAGTTCTGAATTAGCTCTGGCAATCACTAGTTTATATCTCACCATTTAGACTCTTTTCAGAAGTGCGAATATATACATCACAATTGTGACTTTTCTTCACAGAATTGAGTTTATATCTTGCAATTCTGAGAAAAAATTCTTAAACTTACAAGAGAAAATGAATTATCAGATGTAAACTCAGAATTGTGAGGAAAAAAAGTCAGAATTACCTTTTTTATTATTATTTATTTTATCCCATGGTGGAAACAAGCTTCCATAAAAACATTTGTTGTTGTTGTTGTTGAATACAGAGTTGAAGAAAAGCTAAAGAACA